CCCCAAAACCCCAAAACCCCAAAACCCCAAAACCCCTTCATCAGGATTCATGCTGGAATAATTTAATTTTGGCAAATTAAGATCAAACTTAGGAACTAGGGAGGCTCCCAGGCTAGCAGATTGGAAGGATTAGAACTCAGACGTGCACTCTCCGTCATCAATTCAGCTAATCTGATAGACCTTCTCCTCAAAATTTATGTACTCCGATTGGGGCACCTCTTGCTCTCTTTCACAGGAATGGTCAAGATGGAGCTGCAACTGATTGGTGATCTCCCTCTGGTTCTATAGAGTTAGTCGAGAGAGTTACCTTCTTTAGAGTCTTCTTCTTTTCAACAGAAAAAGTTGTCTTTTGATAATTAGGAATGTTCTTTGGATTGGCTAAAAGTCATAGAAGAAACCATACATCTTTGGGATTTTAAATCATGGCAATACTTGATTATGTGCTCAGGATTTTCAGAAGTATATTCAAGCTCGATTTCAGGGCATTCTCCTGACAGGTCTAGAGGAGGTTCTAGGAATGGGTTACCGATCCGAGGAATTTTATAATACACATCTTTTTCTTTCTCACAGTTACTTCTATAGTTATGATGACAAATATTACAATTGATCCTTATTGATCTCTTTGAGCTGGTTTTTTAATCCCTGAGTCTTAGATTTAATGCTACTAGATAGAGGCCTACATCTGAGAAAGGTTTCACTTACTTGTACACAGTCTTTTTACCTCCATAAGTTGAAGGTGTGAGCTCTATATGCACTCTAAGTCAGAAATGTGAGAAAGCTCAAGAAACTTACTGTAGTTTCCCTCTTTTGATCTCTGGAAGGTCATACGACTTGTTTGTGGCAGACGGGACCCAGAATTATTTATTTTTGGAACTATCATTAATGAACTCTTAATCTTTGTGCTTGAGATAGATGACTTGGAAGGCCTCCTATTGAAAGATCCATGATTTTCCTTGTCAAATTCCATATGGGAGATCTTGTTGTTCTTTGAAGTTGGGCTAAGATTTTTCAATTTGATGTTAGACTTTGAGACAACTTCTAAAAATTAAATTTCTGCATTACTCTTCTTCTGTTGAGAAATATTTTTCCTATCACTTGGAGACTGTCTTTTACCTGAAATATAATGTTTATACCTTACTGATTGGTATGGAATTTGAATCAAATCAACTGCTATTTCTAGTATTAGTCTTGAGCTTAGGTTTGGAGTATTTTCTCCTGGCTTCTTTAATTCTTGAAATTCTAGCTTCTTTCTCTTTCTGTTGCCTCTCATACTCCCCATCGCCAGCTTTAGTAAGAGTAGAGGAAGGTCTGAAAGGTTTGCTGACAGTCTTATACTCAGTTCTAAACATGATCACAGATCCTTACTTGTTGTACGCAGAGAGACTACTCTTCTGGTTATCCTCCATTCTGGTTAATTTAGTATCATTATATTTCCCAACGGCTTTATAGATAACATTTGTGATATTTCTTAAACTAGTTCCTAAATTCTTATTTCTATCAAGAAGGCTCATCTTGTTCTCCCGAGGTGTAAGCTTCGAAGTGGCTGGAGTCACATGAGGCCGAGGAAAACAACTCAACTTCTTTGGGCGTCACTCTGATCCATTAGAGTTCACTCTGCTCCTCTTTGGATTATCAATATGGATAGGTGAGATATGAACTGATCTTTCATAGTAATTTTCTTTGTTATCAAATAATCCGCTATCAACTTTTGAATGAACCTTTCTCTTTACACTTGATGGCCTGGAAACCTCATTTAGTTTATATCTTGGCTTGAATAATATCTGAGAAGAGCTCATCTGGCTTTTAGATAACCTTGTAGTAACTCCTCTAAAACCCGCGAGCCACCCAAATACAGCATGCTGGATTATCAAGGCTTTTCTATTGAGGATGTAGATATTAGGGTAATATTTCCTGAATTCCCTCTGTAATTTCAGGAAGCTATCCTCATGTTGTTGACCAGTCATTGAGCTTTCTCTCCAACGAGTAATTACTGCTTGATAATATTCCGGGCTTTTCCTTCCCTCTGTCATTTGTGATATTTCAAATAATTAAAGAATTAATTCTATGAATAAAACAATTAAAGGGGTTTTGGGGTTTTGGGGTTTTGGGGTTTTGGGGTTTTGGGG